ATTGTTATTTGGGATGGCACTATCTATATTTCTTAGCAGGAAAACTGAAAAAGCAAATCGAAGAAGCCATTGCAAGGAACCAAGTATAACACTGTTTTGAATATGAACATCTCCAGCTTGTGCCCATGACTACATATACAAAACAAGTCAAGTTAAACTTCCACAATGCCAAAATAAGCCTCACTGCCTTCTTTTACCTCTTAGCTTACCAGAAAATAGCACGTGTCCTTTTCTATGATGAGGCAGTTTGGTTAGCAGCGCTGGAAAGTAAAGAACCATCTTCTGTTGATGATTCTCTTCCTTTCGTTTTAAAAATACTGTTTCTAGTCTCTGCAAAAGTTATAGCGAGGGCCATTCATAAAGAAAGAAAGGTAGCTGGTGGGTGAAAGCTGAAACCTGCCTACAAAAGGTTTGGATGGGTGGGTAGGTGGGTGATATATATGCATGTCTGTATGTCTTAAATTGGGGGATGGCAAAGCAGCCTTTGGAATCTATTTACCCTTACTTATGTCTTATTGCATGAATTACTACTGATCAAAATAGATCAAATAAATAAACTATAAATATGTAACCTGCTTATCAGCCAATTAATCAGTTTTGATTGAAGGGCTGGGGATCAGATGGTTCTCTGAATTTCTGTGCAATATTGTTGAGTTTGTTCTGAGTGATATTTCAGTGGGGGCAGACAAAATGGCAAAAGCAAAAATTAATCTTCCACACATCACCCTAAGTTTCTGAAATGTTGTAAAATGTGGCACCTTACTTGGATGCAAATGATTGTATTTTTGTCAAATGTTTACTAGCGCCAGGGGCAACTGCAGAAAGCCAAGATTTGATCAAAATGACTAAATCAGCATCATGGCATCATGATCCAAGGTCTGCCCCTTAGGTACTTGTGTGTGACAATGCAATAGGAGTACAGGAGGGGTGAGTTTGCATTGCAACATCATGATGTATGTTTCATTATTTGGCCTCCTTCCCCACTCACAGGTGCCCATAACTAGGGCTTTGCCAAACATACCAAACAGGTGCTTCACTACGTGTGCAAACCTTCCAAAAGACCCAGCTGCTTTAATAATTTGAAGAGACATCGTCTCTTTGCACTCATCTGCGTTGCATATTACCTCTTTCAAGTGCCTTGCACAACCATCACATTTATACTTCCTATAGAAGGTTGGATAATTGAGCAATTAAAAATGACAATGTTTCTGGAGTCTGTTCAGTAGGAGTTGTTTCACTGTCATGGGTCAGTCTGGATACATTTCCACTTCACACTGTATTTCTGAAGATGTTTCAAACCATGGTTAGAAAATTAGGAACATTATGCTCTCATTAGGCTAATGATTGATAATTGGCGAGGTTGAATTTGTCAATTCAGATGTGGAGGGGGGGATACTGATTCTGCTTTCCTAACCCCCCTTCACTTACAGCAATTTGAGTTTTTTCTTCAGTATTAATATGATGCATGTGAGCAGCATTATAAATCCTTATTCATATGCCTGATTATAACATGGATACTTTTTTATTCTGATATCTGATATGAAGTGTGTTTTATTTTTTGTTCTTGAATGATGAATGCAAGCTTATCTAGATTTTTATATTACAGTTTTAAGTTCTCAATATCTTAAGTTGCATACTTTTAGCTTGGCAGTGTGAGAACCTATTAAAGTCAGTCCAGATGTTTCTCCAGTTATAATCCATTGCTATCTAGTCTAATAAAGCTTTAGCCTTTGTGTTAAAAGTTGTATCTGGGCTACAGTCCAGAATGCTCTTTTAGGTGTCACTAAGGATTTATACATGCCTTATGTGATTTGTTCTGAATAGCATTGTCTAATGTTATTATCACAAACTTCATTGAAACTCATATTAAGTTTTTTATATGGTTTGTTAGTACAGTAGTAAAAGCTGCTTTTCAAAGAGCAAATGTACAAAGAGTAAAGATCTCTTGGACATGCAGAGACAATTGTGCTATTTGTTGGACTATAACTCTGGAACAAAAATAGGAAATCTCTGACTAGTGGCTCATTTCTGCTGTATCCAAAATGATGGGCTATGGAAGTCATGTTTCCAGGCTGCCTGTAATAACTGTTTTGAGAAAAAGTAGCATAAATAATTAGAGGTTGTTGTACTTCAAGGTCTTAGACTAAAACAAGATTTACATGAAAGGATGATGATTCTACATATAAGATGATCTGCCAAAATAGGAAGAATAGAAAGAAAAAATATATATAAATACAGTACAGGTGAACATTCTATACAGTGCCCAGCTTTCTTTCCCAGAGATAGTTCGGATTGGACCAATTGCTAAATTCTGTAAAATAAATCAATCTAGAATGGTCAATTCCTGTTGAAACTAATCCTGGAATTTTTCCTCTCCCCAATAAAAAATTTCATTTATCTTAATTTATTAATTTAATCACCCCAACTTTTGAAGACAGCCAAAATCCCGACAATGTCACGAGAAGTGCAAAAATAATACTGATCTCACATCAACACATTGCTTGAATGTAAAAGCCACTTTCGGCATAATTCCCACTGCAAATTACATATTTATGGAGACAGGGAGTCTACAGTTTCTGCATGTCATTTAAACATATGGCTATTGAGTGTGAATGATAAGTTGTGTGGAATACATGGTATGGGCAAGAGTATTTATCCCCACTGTCTAGCACTTCAAGCAGCTTTAGGGTGAATGGACACCAGTAGGAATATTAATTACTTGGTACCATTAGTTGTGGAATATTATTAGTTGTGCACTTGGACACTTTATGGAGGTACTAGAAGATCACTGTCCCCAAGTGCCATAGTGTGGACATTTAAATATTTTTAGGCTGTGCCTTTTATTCCTGGGAGAGAGCTTATGGGCAGAGTGGGATCCTTTGAACTGGCAGGTTGTGAAATGTAGCCTTTCATTGTTGTCTCATCATCACCACTAATAGTACATCTTTTACCATTATAATAATTTGTAGCTTTAGATTTTCATTTTGCTGAGAGATTTTAAGATCATTTTCTGGAAAATAAATTATCCTTTCACTATAAAATATTTCTTCAGTTTGGAGACTGAGAAGGTGATGTCATAAGTGAGCTTCATCATCAAAGGTCAGATTTCAGGAGGGGAACCATTGGGAATCAAAAAAGTCAAGATGGTGGCCACAAACCCGTCTCCCTGTGGATACTCCCTGGATTTGAGTGACAGGTGTTGGGAGGGAGATAGAGATGTATTCGTACAATAGCACCACTGTGAACATAGAACCCAAAATGGAGGGCCTTGTTCTATCAATTCATAATTCTTGTAATTTTAATCAGGTTCTTCAGTTTGATCAAAAAATCATATCCATTATTTAAAATTTTTCAAATAATAAAATATTGATGAATCATATAGGTCTACACATTTGCAATTTACAAGCTGGGCCTAAATTCATACGAACAAAATTACTTAATATTGCAAATGTGGTAGCTGGGTAGTAAGCTTCAGAGCTGCATTGCTTTTCAGCCAGAAAGTTGCTTCAAAGTAGCACTCATTGGTCCAAAATATTATAATGTTAATTAATCTCTGAATTAGGGATCATCAGCTGATCTCTGAGTTATTTGAAGTTACCTGATTTTTTTGTAGAACCAATGCAAGCAACAGTTTCCTCATTTGAACTCTCTGTATTGAATGGCTGCTATTTTTGGTATTTCTTGCAGAACATTTAAGTCCAGTGGAACCATCCATGATAATAGTATTAGAAAGCATATGATAAATAATTTGCCCATTTAGATGGTATCACAAGCAGGATGTAATAGCTTCTTGTTACAGTATGCATGAAGTAAAGTAAATAGTACTAATTTTCTGCATACCAATTATTTGGTTAACTGTTCATTTAACAGATCTAGGATTTTTAAATGTTGAATTTATTACATTTCTTTATTTAAGCCAATTATTTAAATATTTCAGATTGTGAAAACTGTGCGATTGTATTTGCTCTGGAAATATTCTGATCCAAAATAAAATAAGTTGGAGAAAATCCATTTTTCTAGTAAAAAAAAGTTCTGAGACAGGTTTATTTTTGTTTGTTTGTTTTTTGCAATTTATGCAATATACAACTACTGCTAATATGTAATAAAACATAGACAAGAAATGGAATATACTTTCTTGCCAGTGTTACTTTTTTCAGACAGTAGCACTGGATACTATATCATGGCTATCTAGAAAGTTTACTCAAGATTTAAAATTATTAGTAATAAAAACTACAGTTAAAAGATCAAACTAAAAAAGTCCTGTTAGTTACAGAAATTGTTTGCTGGTTTAGATCAACTGTACAGTTCAGTGGATTGTAAGCAGGCAGATTTTAAGAGAAGCAGCTTAATGTTATTCTGTGAAACCTAAGAAAAAAGATGTGAGCTAGATCGTTTTCTGTGTGCTCTGCTACTGTCCAGACAGTTTTAACACACAACTTTCCAAGGACCATGATCGGTAGTTCTCTTGGATGAAATTCCAGGACTTCCCTACATCATCCACCATCAGAAAACCTCCTTCAATTAATGTGCACAATACTTTTGTTACTCTGTCCAATGAAATTTTTTTCTTCTTTTTTCTTTCTTGTTGTGCCAGTGACTAATTTAGATGTAGGTTTTTTTACGTCTTTTGTCTTACATCTGCTGGTCATCCAGATTTGTGCAGCTAAGATGCTTCTGTGGATGTGTTGTTGAAGAGCTAGTTTGAGAAAGGGGTTTAGCTATAGGGATTTGTATGGGAAGTATAAACTATTCTAAGAATATGTGAGGAGAGCAGGCAAGGACACAGGGCTTCTCTACCAGTAGTGGCCAGTGGGAAGGGTTGTAACCAAGCTGGCTACAGAATTATCATAGCCAAGTCTTTCAGTTACATGCATTAACCAAGGTTGGACTAGTCACTTTTAGTCTACTCTCAAACTCTCCAGATCAATGTGTCAACCAACCCATTTGAAAAAGAAAAAAAAAAGTGGTTGCAGAAGCTTGTATTCTGGTCTCCTTTGCAGCTAATCCAGTACTGCAGAACAGGCTCGGAACCCTGGGACCAAACAGATGGGGGCAATCACACAGCAGATTGTCTAGAACAATTGGTACTGAACAGGACACCACCTCTGACTACATCATCTCCTACTCCATGCTCCATGGATTGTCCGGATGGAGGAGCTCATACCAGTGTAAGAGGGAAAACACCACTTACCATATGGAGCACCTAAAGCTGTCTTTAGGCTGCCCAGCCACAGGCTAATGATGAGATAAAGCAGAGGCATGACATGTCCTCTTGGATGTTACTGAGATACCTTTGCCCTGGGGTAAGGAGGCTCTGTAGATGTGGGTAGTGCCCACTCCAAGGTGCAGTATCAGTATAGTAACAATGAAAGTTGCTTTTCTACCATAAAAAACAGTTTGGACCTGGTACCAAAATAGTACATATTAGCACAAATTCCTAAAATAATACATAATGTTCCTCAAAAAAAAGTGTCATTCTTTCTGCTTCAGTTCTCTTTTATTCAAGTTAAATCTGAAAAGATGTGATTATTGGAAGACAAAAAGAGTTTATAAAAGTTTAAAAACTTTTTTTCTTCCATTACAAAGACTGATTGATAATCACATATATGTTTTCTTAAGATGTATAAATCAGTAATGATTAACCATTTTAACACAAAATAACAGGAAAGGGGGGGAAGCTATCTATCAAGGCTGATCCTTGTTGTATAAATAGGGTTAAGATGTCTCATATATAACTTTGATGTATTACTTTAAATGAAAGATTAGTAAGATGTGTCTAGTAGAGTAACAATTTATGACACCTCTTGTAAAAAAAACACACAACTGGTTTGGGCTACAATTCCTTCACATATTTTTAAATCTTGTTGAAGACAATAGATATTAAACAGTCTGCCTACACAGTGCTTTAAGCCTGTATTGTAAACCAATGGCTGAGTGCACTTTTGTGAAAGGGAAATCTCTCTACTCCCATCTGCCCCACATCTCAACACAGTGAGAAAAGGGCACTTCACCTGGAATATGAACAGGCGATTCATAAATCCTAGATCCTCCAAAGTGGTGTCCATGGGAAACGTAGCATCTACAACATTCCTAGATTGCACCCAGTGACACTATTCTTAAAAAAAAATAAAAATAAAATGGCCCAAGCTTTGCAAAATAGCCGCTTTTAATATATATTTTATTAATTTATCTCTTTTACATATACTTTACATATATACTTTTTTGTGTGCTGCTGCTTCAAGGAGGTTATGTGATAGTGTCCTCTAGATTAAGAAATGCCTGGAACTCTCTATATCCCTTTGTAAAATAACACTTTATTGGGAAATGGCTGTGCCAGAGATAATCATGAAGCTAGTGCAGGACAGCTAATAACTAGGAAGTAGTTTCATTTGATGTTTTTTCTGAGCTAACTAATATGTGTAGACTTTAAATATATGTTTTGTTTTTTAACTGCATATTTCATTCTATTGAAGGCAAATTCAGAACTTTGTGTAGTTTAACAAAAGCTTTTTACACCATCTTACTGAATATTGAATTACAGATTAACATATCTTTCTTTGAACAGTAGAACTCAGTTATGTATACAGGTAGTCCTCAGTTAACAACAGTAATTGGAATTTCCAATCGCTAAGCGATGTGGTCATAAAGTGTGATGTGACGTGACCACATTGCTTAGTGAAGGCAATCCTGGCATTCCCCGTTGCCATCGTTAAGCGAGGATTATGGGTCTTTAAGCAAGTCCTAGGCAGCTTGCAAGCAGGCAGGCAAGGCGCGTGATGTGAGCGTGACAGAGCCGGGGGTGACTGCTGCCCAGCAGGGGAGGGTGCGAGCAATATACCAGAGCAACTTGCCACCTTCCCTGCTGGCTTTTCCATTGATTTTGCTTGTGGGAAGCTGGCAGGGTAGGTTGCAAATGGGGATCACATGAGTGTGGGGGTGCTGTGACAGCCAAAACTTGAGGACCGGTCATAAGTCTCCTTTTTCAGCAGCATCTTAATTTCAAAAGGTTGCTGAACGAATGGTTAGTAAGCAAGGACTACCTGTAAATCCTTTTGAATGTATAGAGTATTAGCACTTTTGTAATAGACTCCATAGCTTGCAGTCATTGTGAGATGCCAAAGTGACCTTTAAAGCAAAATAAAACAGCAGTATATACATTCCCCAAAGCATTGTAATTCAATTTTAATTTTGGCAATGAGATTGCCTGATTGGCAAGTTTATTGTAGCGTGGGTGTCCTTATCTAAGTTAAATGTTTCAAACATTGTTTCTGCTGAAAGTCTGATTTTTTAAAAAAAACAAGAAGGAATGTCTAGGCTTGCTTTCTTTTCTTTTCTTTTCTTTTCTGTGAGGTTGTCATAAAAATGTCCCCTCATAAGACACAAAAAAAAATGAGAAGGACTAAATAGTATATTTCCACAGCAAAGGATGTGTAAAGTGGAAGGTGATGTTTTATTTTCTTCTGTAAATATTCTTTCATTGGTTTTTATAATTCCCTACTATATTAGTTGTTTAATTGTTGTTTCATTTTTGTATTTACTTTGAAAGGTGAAATATAATTTAAATAATTGCCTAGAATAACAGTATATCTGCTTTTTTGTTTTTTGGGAAACTGAATAGAATGCTCTTATGAAACTCTACTTTTCTGTTGTATAGCTATTCAGATGGCTATATAGATCCAAAGGGGGGTTCTTGCTATCTAGAAATGAGACCATTTGAGAGCTGAATTTGAATATTTGGAGGTCAACCCAGATAGCATCAGTGTCCCTAACAAATTGGCCAAAGTGATTTGGGATGTTATATTGGAAAATTTCAGGGGACTTGTGCTTGGGAAGTTTCAGCATCAGAAGCATTTTGTCTCTGAATATCAGGTGCTGGAGAGCAACTGTGAACATGTTCTATCCAGAGGTACTTTTTCACTACAATCAAAAAGGTCTTTGGTTTGATCCAGCAGGTTAGTTCCTGGATGTTTCTCGTTCTGCTACATCTGCATCTTATATGGCAGCCTTCACCTTCAGATGCCTTTGGAATCCAATTCCCACAATTCTCTAGGAATTCACAGAATTTCTGAGAATTCTGAAAATCCAAACATCTGTGAATTGTGCAATTGCTCTCTTTGCTTTGCCTGACCTTTTTTCTTCATTTTGCTTCTCCACAACACAGCTCCTTCTGGTCCTCTTCCTCTCTTCATTCTTGGTTATTTCCATATTCTAATGATCCCCTTTGGCCTCTCCTGGCCTGCTGCTTTCTCTTTTTGCCTCTTCATTTCCTCTTTGCCTAGGTCACTCTCAGAGGGTTCATCATCATGACACAAAACAACTTTGGTTGTTGGCTCTGGAGCTCCAGAGCCAGTTTACTCTTTTCCATTAGCTTTCTACAGAATTTAAACATTTAAGTGTGCAAAACTCACTCTTCGTCATAATCTGCTTTTATTGGTTTCATTCACTGAATACTTTTCTTCTGTTCAAGCTGAATGTCCAAAGGAGATGTTTGATTTCCAAAAACTCATCCCACTTCACATTCAACAGGCAGAAGCTTTTACAAAGAAATTTTTCCAAAGTTCTTTCTTTTTTACTGCTTTGTTTTGCAGTAAAGTGGCATCTTGATGCTTTTGAACATTTGTGAGGCCAGCCTGTATGATTGCACCTTATTCCTGCCTCTGTTTCAAAAATCCAGCAGTTTATTTCAGTCGCGCCTCAATACGTGACAGTTACAAGAGCCACAGCCTGGGTGAAATGCTTGCAAGCTCATGGGCTCAGCAGTCGAGTTCTTGACAAATGGCCAGGTTCAGAGTCTTTCCATGAATAATGACTTAACTTTGTCAGTTGTTTTGGCCTCTGCTGTACAGTTATATGTTTCCAGAACAGATGGAGCAGCTCTCGTATGCCATTCTCTGTCTTTTGAACTTCCTGTTCAGCGGTATGGTTCTCATCAACACAGATTCTGCTGAGAGCACCTACTTTTTAAAACTGAAATATCTGGTTTTCGCCCTTAGCAAGAAGCAAGTGAATGGAATTTTACTCTAACGAGAGGCAAATGCGAAAGCACTTGCTTTTCAGCTAAAAATGTGTCTCCAAGACATGAAATTTTAATTGATAGCAATTAGAGATCGGGCAGGACGAAAACAAGGTTTGGATTTCACTGCCCCCCATTTTTTTCCTTTTAATTGCTTTGCAATCACTTGCTGATCAGGGTATGTCAGCAAGATAGCAAGCAGACTGAAAGGTCAGACTTCTGTGTAACATGGCAACTAACTTCACACAGCAGAGGAACATTACCTGCATCTGCAGGAAGACAAGTCCAAGCTACAACCTTGATAGCAGAAAGGAGCTTAAAATATGATACACAGTGCACCCTAAAAAACACCTCAGGACATTTATGCAAGCATAATATCATTAATGAGCTGAGTAACAGTAACATCCCATCATTGCCAGTATGCTTCCCCCTCCTGGACTGTTTGCTAGTCTCCTCTGCTTACTATTATGCAAATGAGCCTTACAGGTTATGTTGCACCAAGCTGACGGCCTTTGCAAGTAGGACAAAATGTAATATTAAGGCTCATCTTGTCCTCCTCCCACACTGCAACTGGAGTCTGCTGCTTTACTTTCAGAGCAACCCTTTGTGCTGTGTAGACAAATAACATTAAACAGGCCTCTTGAACATTGACAAGAAGATCACAGCTTTTAAAAACTGTCCCGGGTAGAAAGCTGCAGCAGTGAAGGAATGTCTCTAGATAAAGACCAAAAGGGCTGGAGGAGTTTTGCTAACTGAAGCTCAGATAAAGGCATTAAGCTGAAAATATGCTTCTCAGGTTTGCTGTGACTGAAAACTGCATCTCAGTGCATCGGGCATATTTGCAATTAATAATTCCCTTCATCTTCTTCATCATCATCATCATCATCATCATCTTTTGAATAAAGCATTGTGATGGAAATTGTTGTTGTTTATTAAACTCGTATACTGCCTGACTCTCAACGACTCTGGGTGGCTCACAACAGTCAAATAAGGAAATTACAGTAAAATCAATAAAACATAAAAAATAAAGTTAAAAAAAGCAAGCCCAATGAAGCAAGGGGGTCTCACTCTCCCTCGCTGAAGGCCTGGGTGAAGCACCAGGTCTTCGCGGCTCTTCTAAGCAACAGCAGAATGGGGGCCATCCAGATCTCGGGGGGAACCTCATTCCAGAGGGCAGGTGCTGCTTCAGAGAAGGCATGCTTCCGGGGTCCTGAGAGATGGCATTGTTTAATCGAAGGAACCCTGAAGGATCGAATCAGCTGGGCAGATGTTATGAGAGATAGGCAGTCCCTCAAGTAACCAGGCCCTATGCCATGTAGGGCTTTATA